TGCAACAAAATAGGTTATTAAAGGCTTTTGCGTAGATGCAGGTGTGCAATTCAAGCGAGTACCTTGTAAATGAACAAAATACAGGCATATATATCAAATACACTGTCAATGAATGCACGGTGGTAATAGAATTGAGAAATTGCAAAAGGAAACCCAAAGAGAATAGACTTTTTAACATTACAATAGATAAGTAATTCAAAACCAGATGAATTTCCTAAGATCACAGAAATGAAAAGGAACTGAAAATATGTCCAACTAAGATATTTTATGTCTCCATGAGAAGTCAAAGTATTCATAAAAATGGGCTCCAAATAAGAAAAAAAAAAAAAAGAAGTAATAATATTACATCAGCAAGGTGGGATACAGTCATCCAGATGGATTCTTGGAGTTTTCCAGTGCATTCTTAAAAATTGTTGCTATTTCATATTACTTGTGAATTTTAGAAAATACATTTTCTAATTTGTGAGTCCATAGTTACCATGCTTAAAAAAGCAGGGGGAGGCATCTTGGTATTTTCTTTCCCTCATCTATTTTTTTCCTTTTAAAATGTTTTTCATATTTATTATTTAGAAATGTCTGTCTTAAAATTAAATCTTTATTTTTACTTAAGCAGTACTGTAAAGAGCAGAGGGATTGTATCTTTCCCCCAAAGGCTTAGACGGCTAGAGTAGAAACATTTCTTCAGTTGTGATGGATACATCTTTCTTGATATGCGTCTGTCAGATTTTTTTTAAATTAAATTTGTGTTAAAAATACAAAGCAACTTTGATCTGTAAACACTGTCACTTAGTATATTTATGTATTTCAACTGTGTTGGTTTCATTTTACTGTTTCTTATATTTAGCTTCCTACTTATTCTTCAGTCATCTACTGAGTCTTTCAGGGAAAAGATGGAATTTATGATGTTAAAAACAAAACAAAACAAAAAAAGCAACAACTTTTAAAAGTGCAAGGAAAAAAACAAAAGTCCTCTGTGTTTTTTCTATACACACTGTACAAAAATGGAAACTATCAGTGTGCTACCAGTATTGAGATCAAAAATTGAATGTCTTTTGCCAAACTTTGGTGCTGTCGAGTTGCCTGTATTGAGCACCTGTCTGCCTGAGGTTAGTCTCTCTCTATCTCTGTGTCTGAGGGGTCCTTGCAGAGTATTTTCAGAACAGTGCTGCAGCCTGTTTTACTCTGTGTGCCAGGATGTGTAGACTTACAGTAGTGTCACAGCCCTATGCTCAGAAACAACTGAGAGTACAGGAATGAAACAGAATAAATGGAGATAAAACAGCTATGGCACTGCTGTTGAAGCCTGTAACGAAGGCTTCTGTACTTTTGCCTTCTGCTTTGGAGTGGTAGCACCTCTTCTGCCTCTCCAGCATCATTGTCTATATCAGTTCTGCAGCAGGAACACCTCAGCTCTCCCCTTCTGGTGTGACAGCGAGTTACTGATGGAGTGAAGGAGCAGGAGCTGCCTCTACAAGAAGAGGCAACCGAATCCCAATAAGCAGAAGTAGGCACCCACTCCTACACCTAACTCCAATTTCAACCTTCCACTGACCTCTGTTGATTCATTGGCTCACTTTGATGACATTTAGCCCCCACACTCCTTCCTTTATGTGCACTCTCCAGATTTGCACTTCCTTGTGGTTCTCCTTTCTTGCCCTCCACCAACTTCTACCCTCTACCCTTTCCCAGCTCAAGGAAGATCAAATACATTTATTCTAAGCCAACAGCAAAACTTATAGCTGATGCACCTGGGACTGGCAGCTGGGCTTCTCAAGGCTCTATCAGAGACTTTCCTTTGCTAGAGATGTTTCTAGCTTTGATTTTAATGCCAAACCTAATAGCTCTTCAGCCACATTAGGAATGAGCAGCCCATGAGTGGGCCCATTATGGCCTTGTCCCTCTCACTTGAATCCAAGCACACACCAGAGCACCCTCTCTTGCTTTGACAAATTCAAGATTGCTCAGTCTCGCAGGGAGTAGTGCTGTCTGCCACAAAACAAAACAGAAAAATGAAACTGCTGCCAAATAGGAAGGACAAAGCATAATAAAAGCTTGTGTAGAAGGTAGCAATGATGTGTCAAAGCTTTATGTAACGATACAAGAACTGATTGTTTGGGGTTAGCTAGTTGCAGCTGTACTCCACAGCCAGAGAAAAGTGAGGTAACTGTCCCATACAGGCATTGCACACCAGGATTTAGAGGAAGTTTTGGCAGCCTGGCCTTGGGGACCTGCCAAGGCCTGAGTGGAGATACCTCCAGATCCGCTGGAAAGCTCGTGCACAACCTCAAGTGCCCTTATAAATGGGCACTGGAAGCCCATGAGCAGAGATGAATCCAGTAGTGGCAAGGTTGCTGTAGCTCCATGCCACCAGCTGCAGTGAGTAGCAAGGCTGAGTAGCATACACACAAGCATGCATACGCAACATATATACATACATTCCTCCCCAAGCCACCTCGATCCCACGCTTTCCCTGCCATTGGTTCTATCCCTAAACATCCCATAAATCTACTGCAATCCCTAAATGCTCTTCTCCTACATCCAATAGTAGGTCCCATATTCCATGGCATAATAACACCTCCCTCAGTTTCAAAGTTGCTCTAGAGAACCTTTTCCCCTGCCTTATCTTCATGGGCACTGTTTCTGAACCATGGGGCTGAGGCTGTCTATGCAACAACCCTTGTGAGGGGTCCAGACAGGGTGTCCCTTCCTGTGAGTGCATAATTTGGGTTCCCACCTGCTGTTGTCACCCTATGAGCCTCTGGGTGTATTGAGACATGACTTTGATGGGATGATGTTTCCTGTTCTGTGCCTGGGAGCGGCCTGCCAGGGTACTATTTGGATCCCACCTTCTGCCATTGTCTCTCTGTGCTTCTTTGTGGGTGTGCAGATAAGCTTGTATCAAATGATGTGACATACCCTGCAAAGGAGGGAGGGTGACTGTGGATAGATGCTGAATGATCCGATCAGAATTGAAAACAATTTCAGCTGTATACTTCTAGCTCATGAATTGATCATGGTTAATGGTAATCACAATTAGGAGTAAATAATGGAGCTCAGTAAGGACAAATACATGCATGTACTTGTTAGGAAAATCAGTCAAGATGATCACAACCTTGAAAGGTAGTCTTTGTCATGTTCATTAATGCCAAATCCTGCTACCTCCTGAAATCAGGCTATGTTTGACCTCTAATGCTTGGCTTTGTAGCAGACACTATGGATTTTTTTTTTTCTTTTAAGTTCCCTGAATAGTTTCTGTTTTACTTAGCCAATCAGAAGCACATTGGGGATGCTATTAAAGCACTCAGTTACAATTATCCCAATGAACAGAAACATATTTAATGTGTGAAGGAGAAAGTATGACTTGGTCCTTTGAGAAGGAGATTTTCTTACACAGCAGAAAGTGATGAGGTGTGGAGGTGTGGTGGACACTAAATCAAATAATATTTGCTTTCTGCTGTTTTCTGACTTACCAAGCTTAGCCTTTTTTAAGAGACCAAATTAACTTATTTGCATTTTGAATTCTAGCTGATGAATGCCTCAGGCTTCCCACCCATAAATGCCTACATGCCTCCTACAGGCCTGTGTAGGGCAGAGGATTGCACAATACCTCTTGCCTGTCAGAAAATCTCTACCCAGGTAGTGATAAACCAGTGTAAATGTGCCAGATGCTAGAAAAAGCAACAGGGTTTTCATATGTCTGTGGCAAAGAAATTTGCGACAAAGAGCAAATAAAAAGCAAAATGCTAATGAAAATAGCACCATTCACATTCAGTAATATATATTTTAAATAGACTAGAGATTACACAATTGATCCAGGAATCGATGATCATTATTGGAGCTGTGTTTCTTGCTAGATTGCAAAAGGCTGTTTTAAGCATAGTATAACCTTCTCCTCCATGACATGGATGCAGAAATAAAATGTTTTTTAGTTTGAGATGGAACAAGGATTGAAGGCACAGTAAATAGCTATATGGACAGAGAGGTCATACAGAACAGTCTTGATACTTGGCTATATGAAGTTTGCATTTAGTTTCACTTATATTAAAATTTAGTATTAATCTTTTTTTTTATATATATTTATTCTTTCAATTTTATCATTCCTATTTTACATTATTAACATTTATTTTTATTTAATCCTTTAAGTTGTATTAAAATGCATCTAAAATCAAACAGCACGGATTCTGCTTTTGAATGGGTGGCAATCCCAGAAAACTGTGCTGAATGCATAGGGATCTCAGTGAACAAACAGCTGAACATGAGAGTCTACTGCAAGGTTATGGCACAATGGGTTAATATGATGAGGAGCAGCCAGTCATTTTTACCTTTATTAGCAGAATGGGTGATAGGAGTCCTGTATTACTATGCATGGTTTCATGTCTGCATTTTGAAGAACTAAAAAAATGTAGATGTCAAATTTAGATGTCTTTAAAAATAATAAACAATTTATTAAGGGGGATGGAAAAATGCTATACAATGAAAAACCTAAAGATCTCAGTCTATTTGATACGTCAAGAAGAAAGTCAAATGTATGAATAACTTTTCTGAAATATAACAGTAGGTATTAAAAAGCTCTTTAATCTTTCTGAGAAAGGCAAAGCAAGGACCAGCACCTCTAAGCTGAAGCCAAACCATTTCAAATTAAAAAGGAGAAATGCCTTTTTAAGTAATGATGGCTTAATATTGGAACAGGATATCAAAAGAATTGGTTATTCTGTCACACATCATGACTAGATTCTTTTCTTCTGGGAAGCTATGCTTTAGCCAAGCATACATTCTGCTTGAGAGCAACACAAATGACTGGTCTTCATATGGAGATATCCTTGTGAAATGTAACAGTTAATGATGTACAGATGGTTTGATAAAAATCAGGTTTGGTTTAAGGCCATTGTGGCCTTAAAGTCAGTGATTCTTCTGTATGCTAAGCTGACTTGGCTTTTAAGACTCTTAAAACACATTTAAGTCAGTGGCATTTGGAAGCCTGACTAGATATGTTCCTGCAGGAAATGAGGTGATTGCAGTAGACTGGAAAGGACTGAAAGATGTGGACCAAATCAATATGGACAGCACCAGTTCACTGCATGGCAGCAGCTTCCACCGTCCTTCCACGGAGGTGAGTGCTTGTCCCAGACACACTTTTCCAGGGGGATCAGAAAGATATGATTCTTTCTGAGTTTAGAAATGCATGTTGTTTATCACTGGGGCATCATGTGGGAGGAGACTAGGATGTCACTGTGCACCCAAGGATCAGACCTCCGTATCTGTGCAGTTTGGCTTGTGTTGAGTAGAGTTGAGTCACTCTTTAGAATATCCAGAGTGAGTAAGAGTTTGCACATAAAGATGTTTTTAACCACTCACAACAGAGGCAGAACAGAACATGAATAAGACTGTGGCAGTTCTGACAAGCCTGTAGGTCTGCATTCCTTGAATAATGGATTCACTGAAATATCCAGCACTATGTCCCAGCTTCTGCAGTATAGCCATACAATCTTCTGAAGAAACATTTGTCTCCATTTTGATTTTTAGGAATGCATTCACTAGTAACTCACTGCCAATTGATTTAGTGTTTAGTCAAGGGCTGATTCATTTCCTGCTCTGAATTATTGCAGTTTAGATACCTGAATTTTCAGCTCTGTAAGGTTCAGAATATGCAGTCCTGGTTAATAAAAATATCAACAAATAACATTTGGGAAATCACAAAGAATGTTCACAAATAACATACGATTTGCCTAATCTTACAAAGTACTAATGTATAGGTATTTTATTTCCCTTTTATACTTTATTTCCTTATTACACTTTGCTGGCTTGGAATGCAACTCTAAGAATCTTGGAGTTTCACAAAATCATGACAGAAATAGTGGAGCCTAACCTTATATGGAAAACTCAGTTAAAATCAAATACAGATTTTAAATCCAATGAGTATAAACCATACCTCATGAAACATTTTGATTTATGTAAATTACCATAGCTGTAATCAATTCATCTAAATTTTCCTGAGCGTTCACATCCCCAAGCCAAGATGTTGAGATGCGAGTCCTCTCAGCTGAAGGAAATGCACTATGAATTGTTGCTGTAATGACTGGTATGGGCAAGGGATCTGTTTTGCAAAGGGAAAGTGGGTCAGAGTGGACAAACTGAAAGACTACAAGCAAAAATAATTTTGGAAGAAAATCATTCTGTGACTTGCTATCATACAGTAAAAATAGATAGGTAGTGTAGCTCCTCCTTGTGTTAGCCTCAGAGGGATGCACCTCCCATATAGAGATTCCAGCTGCAGTATTTAGCAACGAAAAGTTTTTAGAAGGGGAGTCTTGAAGGTGTTTGTATTTCTCCCTCTCGTACTTTTTAATCCTCATATGGACTTGCATACTTCCAAATACCATTGTACCTACAGTCACCACATCCAGCAATAGGGAATAAGCCAGCTTGAAAGACACAAGTTTTTTTAATCTATCAGCTAGAGTACTGGCTGTTGATTATGGCAAACTACTTGGAGAGATGCATAGCTGTTTGCAACTTGTTCATTACACTAACTCATGTCCATTTTTGGTTTCTTTAGCAAACACGGACAGATTTCTCCTGGGATGGTATCAATGTGAGTATGCACCACACTACTGTTCATATTCTAGTCATAGAAAGCCCAGGATTTGTCTTTTATTAGATATAGTGGCAATCAGAATGGAAACATGAATGAAAGTCTTCACTGCCACTGAATTTCTGAGCATTGTCTAAGATTCAGAGGATGCTGATGAATTTTGATTTGCTTCTGTGGCTTTACTGTCTCACAAGATATTTAGATCTGCAGGTGGCTTTTAAGTTGCCTTTATCCCTCTGGGATAAATGTGTGTCATTTCTGATATTTTCTTTGTGATATTTCTTGGCACTGTTAGATAAAGAAGAAGTATATCCAACAAGTTTAAAAAATCAGTAGTCTTTGATCTTTTCCAGGACTTTGGAAGAAATGTATCTTATCATTTTCAGCTACATACAGAAGTAAAGACATTTTTTACAGTCCCCTGAGGAAGATGGTCAGCACAACTTAACTTTAGCTAATAAGTGGAAGAAGAAACAAACAAATATTTTAATAACATATGTTCCTTGTTGCTCTTAACACCTATGCCATGATTTTTTTTTTTCCACTAGCGCAAAAAGAATATCCTGAAAAGGGAATAATTTCTATTAGTGCTACCAAACTATTCTTTCTGGTTGAGATACTTAAGATACTTAAAAAAGATACTTAAAAGTATCTTCCCATAAATTAGCGTTGATAGTTTTATATGTTTTGAAGGTAGGATTAGAAGCCAAGTTTTTGGCAGTTGTAAGCAATTTCAAGTTTCAGATACTTTTTAAATGTGTGTCATTTTCTGGTTCTCTGTGATTTGAGAGCACTTGGGTCACTGAATGCCAAAGGGATTTGCCTTTTTAACCAACTGTGGTGTTTTTACCCTGCTGAGCAGCTAAACTCCACCACAACTGCTCTCTCACTCCCCCTCCTTAAAAGAAGAGGGGGAGAAAATACAATAGAAAATGGTTCAAGGATTGAGATTTTAGATTGCTCACTAATTTAGATTGCTCACTAATTACTGTCACTGGCAAAACAGACTCAACACAGGGAGATTAATATAACTTATTGCATATCACTAGCAGACTAGAACAGTGAGAAACTGAAAGCAAACTAAAAACAGCTTCCCACCCACTCCCATCAGCGCTCTTCTACCTCCTCCCCCTGAGTGGTGTAGGGGAACAGGGAATGGGGCCTGTGGTCAGTCCATGACACTTCATCTCTGCCACTCCTTCAGGTCACTCTCTTCCCCTGCTCCAGTGTGGGGTCCCTCCCATGAGATACAGTCCTCTATGTGGGCATTCCACAGGCTTCAGCTCTTCAAGAACTGCTCCCATATGGCTCTGTACCATGGGGAGAAGTCCTTCAGGAGCAGAGTGCTCCAACATGGGTCCCCCATGGGTGGCAGCTCCCCCCAGACCCCCTCCTCCTGCGTGGGCTCCTCTCCACAGGCTGCAGCTCTGGCCCAGGGCCTGCTCCTGCGGGGGCTCTCCATGGGCCGCAGCCTCCTCCAGGCCACATCCACCTGCTCCACCGGGGGCTCCTCCATGGGCTGCAGGGGAACTTCTGCTACGACACCTGGAGCACCTCCTCCCCCTCCTTCACTGACCTTGGTGTCTGCAGGGCTGTTTCTCATTTCTCTCTCTCCCAGCTGCTGTTGTGCAGCAGTTTTTTTCCCCTTTCTTAAATATGCTCTCCCAGAGGCACAACTAGCATTGCTTGTGGGGTCAGCTCTGCCAGCAGCAGGTCCCTTTCAGAGCTGACTGCAACTGTCTTTTGTCTAACATGGGGCAGCTTCTGGGCTTTTCTTACAGATGTCACCCCTGTAACACCTCTGCTACCAAACCCTTCCCACATAAACCCAATACACCAACCCTTACTACTGACATCTCATCCATTGTGGCACGTATGGCTTGGGATGTTTTGCTTAGTCTCTTTTGCTTAGAGAAACACATTGAGCAGGAAAATTACACAGCATACAGCAGTTCACTAAAAGAACTTTACCACTTTTTTTTTTTTTCTCATTGCATTTCTGTCTACCTGAAAGCAAGGTACACAAGGTCATGTTTCCTTAAAGACAGTAGAAGATAGTTTTCTTACTTGCAATTTCCAATTTTCTAGCCCATTCTGAATCCATCAAGTCCTTTCTCAATGTGTCTCTTTCTCTTCCTCAGTGTAATTCTGTATATCTTTGGCATCAGTGCTGGCTCATGAATTTCCTTCTCTTCCTATTCATTCCTGCCTTCCTGCTGTAGCTGTTCAGCCTTGGAGTGGCAGAGACCTCCTGCAGATGCTTTCTGTTCTAGGTCATTTTCATTAGGTTTCTCATAGCAGAGTCCTCAGGCTGTTTTGAAACAAATGGACAGATACTGAACAGCAGTGCCCAGGCAAGAATGACCAGTGGGGGCATAGACTGGCATTCTTTAACCAGCTTCATCATCAAAGGAAGTGCACAATGGAACAAGCTGTGTTCTCAGCTACACCTTACCTTTTTTATTGTTCTTCCCTGCTTTCTGATAGCTTCAGGTTATGTGTCACACACACTCATTCCTGGCTGCTAAGTTACAGAATGCCTCACTCACTACATTTACACTCAGTTTTCAGAGAAACTCGTCTCTCTTAGGTTGGCAATTGACTGGGATTATATGCAGTTCGATATCAATGCTTGTCTTTGTCTCCAATTATTTGACTGCCTGCGATTATTTGACTGCCTGCTCCTCTCAGCTTTCATGAGGTCTATACCTATGGCCAAATGGTTGCTTCAGATCAGGTTTTAAAATTTCCACTGTCATGGTCACTACTTTTGAGTATCTGTGTGTTTGGATGCTGAGTATGAACATGGTAGACTTGAGTTTTAGAGGCTGAAATGAAGAGCAAAAGCAATGCTTCTTTAGCCCTTATGAAAATTTAGCCTCAAATGCAATGCCTGGCATCTTTGAAGAAGCCTGATGAATTCATCTTGAGAGACTGTGTTTTATTGTGCTTATGACTGCTGCCTGTCCTTGTTATTCAGGGACTTAGGATGAAGAAAGAGAATAGAGTGAAATTTACTGGAATTGACCTCATTTCTTTACCAGTAGTTGTAGGTGCTTGAATGAAACAATATGCACCACTGATACAGTCATGTTCATTTTAAGACCATGTAAAATATGAGAGGAAATTAACACCAAAAGCAACATATAAAATAATATCTGTAGTGCAATGCATATTGGTGTGTCTTGCCTATCACATTGTCAGCTCCTCACTGTAAGCTCCCTGGTTGTCCATCAGCCATGCCTTGCCTCTCTGACGAAGAGCAAGAACAGTGCAGCATGTCCATAGAGGACTGGCAGCAGCCAAAGGGAGGCCTCTCACAGCCTACTTCTGTCTCTGCCACTGACCTTGCCTCACTCAGTCCCACAGCCATGCACTATCAAATATTGGTTAAATAGCTTCTAATTTTTTCATCTCCTCTTTTGCCCTTTCTTGTTGCTTGCTTCTGCTCTTCATCTTCCCTCTACCTTCTGGAATTCTTAAACCGGTATCTTACTTCCATTCACTTTCTTTTCATCTTCCTCTATATATTTCTTCATATTCTCTCTCTTTTCAGCTCTCCATGGAAGATACGACCTCCATCCTCCCCAAGCTGAAACGCAACTCCAATGCTTATGGGATTGGGGCTTTGGCTAAATCATCTTTCTCTGGTGAGGTCCTTAAAACCTGGGTTTATCCTTGGCAGCTTCTTTCCACAAGCCTTCAAGGCCTCTTCTTATAGCTCCCTGTTGCTTTCCCAACTGCTCCCTTCTTACTCATGCCTTTTCTAGGCCTTAGAGCAGCCTCTACCACCATGGTTAGAGATACAGAAATCTCTTAGCTTTTGCACTTTCCAAGAAACAGATTTTGCTTCTCACCACGCACCCCAGCTCAGACATCCTCAATTGTTTCCCCTCAAACTGTCTTGGGTTTAACCCCATTTTCTATTTCTTAGTTTGTTCACTTCCAGGTTTCATCACTCATGCCCAACTCTGTCCCAAATGGATTCTAGGCAAGGAAGGAAATGGTCTTTCATATTTGGGGTTTCCTCTTTTTCCCCCTCCTGAGAACCAGTCCAAGGACAGATGGAGAAACTCTCCTGGAGAGGGATACAGTGAAAGGTGGGAGACACCCAACCCAAGGCCTGAACCCTGTCAGGAAAGGAGGGGAGAAACCCCACTTCCAAGAGAGGTAAACAGAGAGGCAAACAACCTTGGAGCTGTGTAATAGCCCCTCCTTGTTTTCTAATGTCTGGCCCCTTAGGGATATCCCGCAGCATGAAGGACCATGTCACAAAGCCAACGGCTATGGGCCAAGGCCGTGTGGCTCACATGATTGAATGGCAAGGCTGGGGTAAAGGTAACAGCCAGCAGCAGCAGCACACGCATGAGACAGCACGCAAAGATGCTGATGCCTACTCAGACCTGAGTGACGGTGAAAAGGAGGCCCGATTCCTTGCAGGTAGTTCTGACTTTTTTGCATGTGAATTGGGTTGGTTGGGATGACCCAGAGCAGAATCACTGGGATACCAATGTGCAGGATCCTCAAAAAACACACTTAGGAATGTCTCTGGGTGGTTCAGGTGGCAGAAGGAGATGAGAGACTGTGGTTGGAGTATTGTCAATGGCATGCAAAGTGTAGACAGCAAGGGCCAACTATGGGTGATGGGCATTGCTGAGATTGGACCATAGTGGGACAGAGAGACCAAGAGGTAAGATTTAAGAGGGTGGTGAGAGGTGGAGGCATTCATGCATCACTGCTCCCCCTCCACATCTCTTTTGGTACAGGAGTGATGGAGCAATTTGCTATATCAGAGGCGACTCTCATGGCCTGGTCCTCTATGGATGGTGAGGATGTGAGTGTAAACTCGAATCAAGAAAATCCAGCAGGCAACTACTCTGAGAACTATCAGGAGCTAATGGAAAGCCAAGGTGAGCTCCAGCACCTCTTGCTAATCTTGAAAGACCCCTTTTCTGCTCTTGGTGTCATGTCACTGTACTTCCATTTGCCCTGTTTTAATCTGCAGTGTCAAATTCCAGGGTTGGAATCTAGCAGAGGCATCACCTATTTGCACCCCAAGGAATTTGACATTAACAGAGAGGCTCCAAAGCCCAGTTCCTTTGGCTTTTTGGGCACAACTGTGGAGAGCCACTAGCTCTTGCAGTTGCTTGTGGGTATGGTCATGTTCATATGCCTACTGCCTAGTACTGCCTCTCCTCTTCACCCTCCTCTCCTCAAAACCATTTATCAACCCTGTCCAATACAGTACCATGTACAGACATCCAAGCTATCTGAATGAACCAGCTTGGATTACCGTGTCTAACTGTCTGTTGTTTCCTTCCTTTTCCTGCAGAGCATATGGCCCAGACGCAGTATGATAGCTGGCCTCATTCCTATGTCTCACAGGGCATGTATTGCTTAGGTTCATCTGATGCCTGGGAGACCAGTGACCAGTCCCTCATCGCTTCCCCAGCAACTGGCTCCTACCTAGGCCAGAATTTTGATGAGTCCCAGACAAACCTTCAGGAAAGTATTTTGATCCAGAGCAGTCTTCTCCAGCAGCAACAGCTGCAGCCACAGCAGCAGGAGCAAAACTTCATCCAGAGCACAGGGCTGGTCCATGTGTGGCCCCTGCAGACTGCTCAGGGTGGGGATGGGGCTGAGTCCAGCACCTACATGGAGGACCATGTTGAGGACGAAGGGCACCCACAGCTGGAGAAGGCTCCTCTCATAAACAAGAAGCCCTCTCCAGAGGAGGATGATGTAGTATGCCGGGACCTGGAATCTCTGTCTCCTCGAGAGGAGCTGGAACATGCTGCTCTGAGCCGCAAAGTCTCAGATGTCACCTCCTCTGGGGTTCAATCCTTTGATGAGGAAGAGGGAGAAACAAACAACTGAGGCTTTTTGTGAAATTTTCGTTAATGCTGAACAAAGAGATGGGTGACGAGGAATGAAACGACAGAAATTCTTCTCTCCAGCTCCCTGTACTTCCGAGCAGACACACCTTACATTCCTACATTTAATTATTTTTTTAAACAAAAGGAAAATCTCAGAGTGATTGACACATGAAGACCTTTCCCTCCGGTGTGGACATACATGTATATTTTCTATTTTCTTTGCTCTGGGCAATGCACGTGAGGTGCTTGGAGAGATCTGGATTGGTAAATCATGTTTAAATGTTATAAATACAAAGTCTTGGCTCTGGATACAAACTTCTGGTACTGGGGATGTGGCTAATAAGACAGGCTTGATATAGGGAGTGGCTATGTGGCTAGAATCCAGCCTGGCAAAATGGATGTTGCTTTGTGGACTTGATGCCCTTTGATAGAATATATGAATATAGACTGTTTTAAATGAAGATATGGCTTTACAAATATAGATTGCACTAGTATAGTGATTATGGCTGATGCAGAGAATAAGGCTGTATTCAATATAGACTGTACTGAGATGAAGGATTTGCTGTGTAACCAGATCCTCAATAGCACCTTGATATGAAATCGTAGGCTTAATGGATACAGACTGCACTCCGTGGGCACACACTGTGCTGCAGTACAGATGGTGTGGATCTGTGGGCATGGCTCTACTGTGGCTTGAAAGAATGGATGCAGATACGAATCTAACCCTGCTCTGAGATACTCATGCTTTGGTTTCTTTCTTTCTAGTCTTTCATTTATTTGTTTCTGTCTTTGACATTCCTACCTTCCTAGGAGCTGGCAAGAGTGGTGTGTCCTTTTGGCACTGAGCACTGGATGCCAGTGGAAAGAACATTTTCAGCTACGGAGACAGTCATAAAAAGCTGACTCTTGCAGAGGGCTTGAGAACATGTCCATCTTGGTGCTGCTGCTGCATCCTTCTGTCTTTTCCTTTGCCAGAAGCATGGGGAGGCAGCAGATCCAGGAATAGTGTGTACAACTATGAGATCACAGATATCCAGTTTACAGTGGAATTTTCAGTTGTTGCTTTTTTAAAAAACTTTTTATATTGCTGGTTAAGTGTTCCTAAAAAAGCAGTTAATAGTGGTAAAAGCCTGTACTCCAGTATCAGAAATACTGCACCTCTCCTATTTCTGCCACTCCTTCTGCAGTGCCAAATGTAGATGGAGGAAAGAGGCTAGAGAGGATGTTTCCTCCTCTTTCTTCTTCCTGACTATATTCCTGACTTCTTTTGTTTTCCTGCCCCCAAGAAATGTAAATAGTGCTCAACACTTGATCTGTTTCTTTTCACATTCCATCTCTTTTTCAGGAGTGGAAAAAGCTCATTTTAGGAGTTTTTTCCTATTTGTATGGGTTACTTTTTTTTTTTTTTTGGTTTGTTTGTTTGTTTTGTTAAAAAAATGGTTCATTGACTTGTGGGAATTCAGTCTCTTGCAATTGCTCACTATGTTTCTACAGACCTCTTTTTGCAGGGGAGGGACTTTGAAAGGAAATTGAAAACCTGTCTCAAGGTAGAAATTTACCCTACCCTGAAACTGTCTCCTCTCAGGTGGAACTTTACCCTACTCAGCTTTCTCCCACTTACACAGGCAGCTGCATGAAGAGGGAACTCCTCTATGAACTCCCAAGTCTTTCTAGCCAAGACCATGTCAAGAAGATCTGTCTTCCCTCTCCATTGCTCCTCTAAAGGAAAAGACCTTTGGATATTAAAGTAAGATTGATAATTTGGTATAGGTAAGAGATAAAATCTTTTGTGACCTTTTTTCCTTTTTTTTTTTTTTTTACCCATTTCCTTGGGCTTGCTTACATCTGTCTTAGGAGGTAGCTCTTCTCCTGAATGATGAACTTTCAGTATCTTTGTACAAATGTTTACACATTCAGGTGCTAACCTCTCCTGGGCAGCAGCGCTTCATAAAGATGAATCTACAGGTTTTGCAGGATCAATGCTAGTTCATTTTCCTGAACTATCTTGAGCCTAGTCAGGGATCTGGGCCTATGAAACGACATGAACCAGAACAGGTGACAGGGCAAGTGCCAAGGACACTTCATCAGGTGTCAAATGAGCAAGTGTTAATTATTTCTGTTTCTAAAAACCTTCAGGGATACAGAATGGTCTAGTATGTTGCTTTGTGGGAGAAAAATTGGGTTTATTGCTTTTTTTTCTCACAGTTTTGTTCCCATGTGCCTCTCCAGGACCAATCTGGATGTTTATGGTAGCTTTCAGAATAGCTTCAAATGATCTCTCTGTGTTATTTATAGGACTAAGGTGAGAGGGCCAACTTGTCTGGGACTTTTTTCTTTTAATGTGGACATGTGATACACTTACTAAGGTGTTTGATCAATGTCTAAAAGATGTACATTTTCTCCATGCAAGGGAGTGAGAGGGAAAGATCTACACAGGAAAAAATGCAAAAAAAATAATATATATATAAATAAAATATTGAATTTGTAGAAAATTCTGTGGAGTTCAATACCAGGGGAAAACTTGTTGAGTTTTCCAGTTTTCTATGGAATGGGATAGAGAATCATACCCTGCTTTATAATTTCATTACCTTATGTCTAGCAACCTGTAGATACACTTATTCTCTGTGAAGTCTGACAGGTTTCAAGACTACTCTCTGTAAAAACTTTAAAGTTGTCTAAATTCTATAAAGCTTTTTCATAAAGACCATGACTTTCTGTGAATAAAATTTCATGACCTCTTCCACAATCCAAAAGAGAAATGTATCTTCCTCTCCAGTTGCAAGGAGCTTGACTAGAGATAGCAGGCCTACCCATAATAAGTTGCAACCTGAGTGAGCATCCAGAGCTGGACTGGAAAGGCAGTTTGAATATAATTTGAAAATGGTTTGTATAACCTGGCCTTTTCTTAGGTAACAAGCCTGCTGCTTCTGTTTATCCAGTATCAGAGAGAGGGACCTGGAACTTACTGTACATTTTCCAGAAAAGCCACTATTATATAGCTATACCTATTGAAGCATATGGAGGGCACAGGTGCTCTGTGAGCAAAATTTGGCCTGCAGTTCTTTATGCTGGTAAGGGTAAATGAGTTGGAGGGAGTCCAGCCAAATACTCAGAGTGCAAATTGAGCCCATGAGGCTGAAAATAAGAAGGAGAGGTAAGCTGAGTATGCTTGATCTGGGGTTACTAAGAAACTGAGCTCTACTGTTTGTTTATACAGGTCCTTTTCAGACCAGAGCTGCACTACATAGTTTTTTGATATTTCTTGAAGCAGTAAAGGTAGATTTTTTTTTTTTTCTCCTTACCAGCACCTCAAAGCCTTTGACTTCAACAGGAGCTATTGCTGTTATTATAGTGAATATGAATGAAGGGTTAAACATGTGACCCTATCTGAAAGAAAACTCAGATTCCACTGTAAGAAAATTCTATCTTCCTTTTCCCTTGATTGCCTATTTTTGGCCAGCTATACTACTTCATTTAAACCCAGAGACTGGATTGGAGGAAGGAATAGGGAAATAAGAAATAAGCAAAATCTTGGCAGATAATATGTTAAGATTTGGAGCAAGCACTGGGCCAGCACCTTTGGGCCAGCAGTTTGAATATGCCCTAATAATGTATGGGTAATGATTGCCTCATAGCAGACTAAACACAGGACAGGAGCATGTTTCATCTCTAAGGCATAGCGTCTAGCTTACCCAAATGTAGAGCAGCTGGGTGAGTTAGGGAATTGCTGAATGGCACATGAACATTGCATCCCACAGACCTTGATAAAGAAAAAATGTGGCTAGGGAACTGTGGCATGTTAGGACCACCAAGACATTGGTTTGAGCCTCTGCTTATCTACCAGTAGCTGTAACTCTTTCCTGTATGACCATTTATGTAATTTGATGAATATCAAATGATTGTTTAATTGTCCCCCTTGCTCTTTTTCCAGTGCTGGTGTTAGGAATGTCACAGTGCCAGTGCTTCTGTTGCTGTGGTTGTATGACTTAGGGGGAGGGCAGATCTTATTTTCTCCACTTAAAATCCAGTAGAGTCCACCATGTTTGGGCACACTGGGTTGCACCCTTCCTATTCATCAGTCACATGAGGTCTACGGGCCCTGCTGTGTTTCACAGTGTGGGATCCTTCCCTTCAGGGCCCTAGGATTACAATGACTCAGAGAATCATTTTGCTTGCGCAGTCCAAACCTCAAAGTCAAGGACCATACAAGAGAAGCTTATGTAAGTTATTCTTTATATAAGTTTTAGGCTTTCTTGACAAGCCTTGTGAATTTTTTCAACCCCATTACCTTAGGCTTTGGGGTTGAGAAGTCAATCTGCTGCTTTAGTTTCTGTGTCTCTAAATCAGCAGCTTCTGTGAAGCCACTGACAAGTCACCACTTCCACTTTCCCTCTTCTGCCCCCACCCCCCTTACCTCTCTAAGACTTTAACATCACCTTTCATGATAAACTTGCAGCAGAGAACAGAATTTAACCATACCTCTGAGCTGATCAAAATGGGATGCTGTTGTGAAAGAGGTAGCCCTCTACCCTAACTGTACCCATCTCCCACAGTTCTTGTACAGACAGTAGCATGCTGCTGACCTCATAACAAGTCAGGTCACTTATACCTTTCTAAAATAAGCAAGAGGGAACAGCTGTGAGCAGAGGGAGAGTGAGCATTATTCTCAGCAGCTGGCCTTTATATTAGGCTAGGAAAACTGTGAAAGTGCACTTTGAAATGGCATTGCTGTGATAAGTCGAAGATGACAAAAGAAGCTGTCATGCTTCCTCCCTTCTCTCATCACCAGCTGTATACTTCTGCTGCCTAAAAAGCACCAGTACTAACACTCATTTGGCTGCTCAGGAACTGGCACCATTGAAAACTAACCACATCTCCTACCAAAATAAGAGTTTCAGTGGGATCAGCAACCTGTATTTTTTACATGGTGAGGCATGCATCACTGAGGTCCTGTGAAATGTGCAGATGGTCATGTTGAACGATGTTTCTCTGGCTGCAGATGGAACTTAAATTGCTTTAAGCTGCATGTGAAATTTCTGTCAAAGAAAAAGAAACCCACCTGGGAAACCTGAGAGGATATACTCCCCCTATTCTCCTTCCCTAGCATTTTCCTTAGAATTTTTAGTGCTGTAATCTGATTTTGGGTTCCCTCCTCTTCCATAGGATCCTTTGAAATAATCCCTTGCAATCAGGCAGGAGGCCTTTAGTAACTTGACATACCCTTGAAATTCATAAAACTGATATGCACAAATCACTGATGTACCCAGTGATTATACTCCACAGCAGCTAAAGATACTGAGGTGTCTTTTCCTGTAATTATAAGAGGAAGAGCCTTGTGCAGGACTGAAACATATTGGAGGTGAGGTTTGTCCCTGTCTTTAAGCCAGTTCCAATCTAGTGTGAGATTCAGAATGACTTTTCATACCTAGGCAGAGTCTGTGCATGATGTACTGTGTCCAGCAACAACAGTTAGTTGAAGGCCTGAAGACGATTGAAGAGAAGGAAACTGTTCTCTTTGTTTGACAGGTGTGAGGTATGGTGGTGGGGCAAGGCAGGGTGCAACAGGCCAAACTTGTAGACGACTATGTGTGCTTGGCACAATGGCAAGAAGTGTAGCCAGTGAGGGGAAGAAGTTGAGAGAGAGGGTTGGGAAAAAGATCAAGAAAAACTTGAAGTTTATTTTTACAAAACAGAAGTAGGAAGTTCTGTGCCAGACTCCAGGCAGAAGGGAACCAGGTAGAGAACTGCTACACAAGCCGTAGCTCCAGGACTGGCACAACTCATGGCAGTCCTTATTATAGGCCACACTTTTTGTCAGAGAGAAAGGAAAGACACCTTTCTGAACTAGGCCAGCTGCTGGCTTCTTTTTCATTGTCTTTGAAAAATGGTTCACCACATGCTTAATTCTTCAGGGGAACCATTAAGAAATACTCCAGATAAGAACTAACTTATTGTCCAAATAAAGTCAATCTGAATTTTGTCTCTAGCAGAAAAGCAAAATATCTAAATTTGGCTCAGTTTACCTTTACTGTTGCATTGGTAATTGCCTAGAAAGAGAAACAAACTGAAATAAATCCACCTCTAACAATTGTGGAGAGCAGGGGGGGCAAGGTTATTAATTGTAACTCTGATCTGTGCAACATCAATCTATTCAGTTTGCCTAAGTCCCTACTATCTTGCAGTCTAAACCTCTTCCTTATAATTTCTTCTGGATAGAAGTTCCTTGTTCCGATAACTCTAAACAATCTAGTATTTCCCTTAAACTAGCTTTGAATTTTTTCTAAGGGAAAGAAAAGGAATGGAAAGAAAAAATAAATCCATTCCTATACAGAGCTTTGATTCCTCTCCCCTATAGCAATTTCATGGGGAAAGATTGCTATGCCATGGCTCAGGGAAAGGAAAAAATAGGAAAAATGTTAGTAAAGTGCTGCCTATTAGAACTAAATGTATATGTAGCACAGCCTATAGTCATTAAAGTACAGTCTCAAATATGAATGCAAGCGGAAAAGTCAATGTCAGGTGCCTCTTCTATATCACAGGTTTTTCCCACACTAAATAGTAGTAAATCTGCACAGGAACGGAAGAGAGGGATGTCTCACCTCATCTCAGAAAGAGTCTTGGAGCCTCCAAGAGTTGACTGGGGTAGGGATGAAGACAAATGGTTATTATGTTATCGAATGGACATAGAATACCTGTGCTAGAACATCAGGGCCTGTTTGCATACTTGTACTTACTTTTTTCCCCTGTATAGGGAACAAAGTAGTAATCTTTTCCTTGGCAATCAAAAGAAGCTCTATGAATGTCAGTGTAGGTCTACTCATATATAATATAGACCAACAGAAAAAGGAATTATGATTTTTGCCAGTACAGATACGCATTGCTGGAAGAGGAAAAATTTAGTCAGGCCAGGACTCCCTGTGAAAGACTATTTTTACTAAAACTGTAGAGACTTGTTTTGTAAAATTATGAAAACTTGTTCAAGTGAGAATGTTCTCTGCAGACATCAAGGGATTTACCTACTGATACCTGTCTTCTCAGAAGAAAGGGGTTGCAGTGTTCTGTGGAAAGAATGTTAGTGAGCATTTGCCTCATCTCCTTTGACTGGGGACATTCTGAATGTACTAGCCTTGTTTCTGCTTTCCTCTAAGGGAACAAATGTCCATCCTGGTCAGACAAACAATGTAAAAAGGATTTTCTCCATTACTGAAACAAGATTGTGCACCAAGATGTACTTTTAATGAGATAAAAGCATCTAGTATAGATTCATTAGCTTTCTGGATTCATTTTCATTGGACATGGAAATCCAATCCTGTTGGAGGTCAGAAAGTTAAGAACCCTTTCCTAGAGCTCTGCTGAGCTTCCATGGAGCAAGTACAGGTGGACTTCCCTTCTTTTCAGATATTGCATGTTTGAGCAATGTAGCAAGCCAAAAGCTCTTTTGCAGATATATATTCTTGTTTGACTTCAATTTCTCTTCTCTGATTTGTGGATGTTGTGCATGATTGGAGGCCTCTGGGAATCCGTATGCTATAAAGTTGGGACTCAAAAGTAATTTCACAGAGAATAGGGTTTATCTTGTTTCAGCTTTTTTTTTTTCACATATTGGAGGGTCCAGACTGAGGATTTGAGACATACAGGGGAGGTGGATGGGAATCTCAGTAGTGGTGTGGGGGATGGATTCCTGAAGCACGTTTAAAAGTAACTAAGGTTTGGGGTTTCAAATGTTGTATTCTCAGTGTCTGAAACTGCTTTATCATAAGTGTATGGGACAGTGAAGGTTGCAGCAAAGCAATTTTAAGACTTTCACTCCAATCCATACACATTTTCTGTAGGGGGAGGCTGCATGGTGATTATCTGTATTCTTTCAAGCTAGTTTTTACAGAAGTGCATTAATGTCTGGGGTGAAAGTACTGAATGGAAGTAAAACAAAAAAGAGAAAGGGGTCCACTATTGTAAGCTTTCATCCCTACATTGTCCCACACTAGCCCTTAATAACTAAAATGAGTCTGATTTGCCTTTGGTCTTCCAGCTCCAAAACATGTTTGCCTGAAAATTTTTGTTGAATATACTTCGCATGTTTTGATAATGTGACTTCTAAGATAACACTTCTACAAAGTTATATATAAATACATGCAAGTACAAACACATACATACATGTACACACACTACATATAGACTTAGGAAACTATATGGCACTCTACACCTCCATGCCTGTATGTGGCAGCAACCACATTAAATAGGGGGAGGTAGCTCAAAATAGCATGTACAGTCCTTTATGGAGTTGTTATTAAACAGAATGTGGTCTTGCCATCCTGGCTGGTGGAAGTGTTTTATTTCTGTGGGACTGGTTCCATGGGAGTTGCGTCTGAGAAAAGAGAATCACAGGAACAAGGGTGGGTCTCAATGAGGTTGTCTGATGGAGGGCCTTGAAAAGAATCCATGGTGGCTTGGAGAAACATCCCACAATAAGAAATATACAATATACTATTTCTCATCGAGAAGATAAGAACATCATCTGTTCCACTATGCAGGGTTAAAATCTCGCTTGGCTACCATGAAACAAATCCCAGGCCATTGTGACAGATTTGATGATAGACAGCATCACATTGACAGGATCCTCTTGTTTAGCACAGAGTGAGTTTTCCTGTTGCACTGGAAAAGCATTTACCAGATGATGCATGTAAGTTTTATCCTGGTACTGGTGATGTGCAGACACAACTGGTAGAAGTGTACAGTTTCACAACAGCAGGTTAGAATGAGACACAAAGAGGAATCTGATGGTGGGGTGGCATATGCATTTACCATGAGTAGCAAGACTCTGGTTTCATGGTTTATTTTTAAATCAGCACTTCTCAGCCTGGTATCCTCATAACAGTTCAGGGAATTGGTTGGAAAAGGAAATACCTTTTTCCTGGAAAGGAGCAACTCTGCAATTCCAATATTATTGTGTCATCTGCCTCTTCCTAGAGGGATTTAGGATGTTAGGCCAGATGCAGTAGCACTTTGTTAATCATATGAGAATTCTAAGTTCTAGACATGGAAGATGTTTATTTCCTTGTGAAGATATTTATTTGCACTTTTCCACTGGTTCTTTCAGGGACTAAACAGTGTCACTTGACCTGCGTAAGGCATACTGTATTTCACAATCAGGACTTAGTAGATCTTTGCTTTTTGTGTTCTATTTGAAATTAATCTTCTCCCAGTTTACCTGCTGAATAGATTCTCATCCATCCTTTGTTATGTATATCTGCATAATTCTGTTAATTACATTCATATATTTAGTTGTGTTTTAACTCCTTTAATTTCCCCCCCCCCCTCCACTCCTGAAAGTCCCCTTGTATTCACTCTCATTGTTTTTTGTTTTTGTTTTCCCTCCTCCACCTCCAGATGGCATCTAAATTGTCACTGTATTTTTTTTTTCTTGAAATGTACTGTCTTGAATGAAATCAGTTATTCCACATACATTTAAGACTTGAGTCCTTGGGAAAAAACAACCAACCAAACAAACAACTCTGAGCTTGGAAGTGGTACCTTCAGTATAGGAATGTTTTTTTTTTTTTCTTAATTTCACATTATGCTACAAAGATAGTGTGCGACTGCTGAATGTTTTACCTAACAGAACTCTTTTATCATCATTCTAGTCTAGATTTATCCCTCAGTTAAATACTTCTCTGGATTTAGCTGCTTAGCACCAGCATGAACCTCACTCTGTGGTATCTGTCCCAGACTTTCATTTCCACTTCTCTCTCATTTTTCTGTTTAGACTAGATGGCAAATCTACTATATGCTTCTCTCATCTTACAGTCTTACAAGCTCTCTTAAGTTACTTTTTCAAGTAATTAATGAAAAGAGTAAATAAAAAGGGCACAATTCTTACTGTACACCTCACTGGCTCTGCACTTTGCCAGCTACAAGGGTATTTTCTGTATAGTCCTTCAGACAGTTCATAGTTTCTGTGCCATATTATTAACAGCAAAAGGAGGACCAGAGACAGCACTGGTCTGCTACACTATGAGGATACTCGCCTCACAAATAGCAACATAAACTAAGCAGAGTTGCTTAATGCCTGGTTCACCTCTGTCTTTAGCAGCTGGGATGGGCCCTGGGACCCCTGGAGCCTGAGTTGGAGGACTGTGACTGTGGTAATAAAAAAGTCCAATCCGACTCTGAACTTGTGTGGGATCTGCTGATCCAGCTGGATGAATATAAGTCTATGAGGCCCAATGGGAGTCAATATCATCACAAGAACTTTCTCAGTTATTTTTCTGTGCTTTGGGAAATCTGGAGAGCTCCCAGTTGACTGACAACTGGCAACTACTATCCTAGTTTTCAAGATGGGCAAGGAAGAAGACCCTGACAGGCCTGTCAGTCTCACTTCAGTGCTTGGTAAAATTATGGAGAAGATTATTCTGGGAGTTATTGAAAAACACCTGAAAGACAATGCAGTCACTGGTCATAGTCAACACAGGTTCATGAAGGGAAAGTCCTGTTTAATGAAATTAATATCCTTTTATGAAAAGGTTACCTGACTACTTGACCAAGGGAAGGCAGCTGAGGTAATCTTTTTGGATTTCAGCAACATTTTTGATACAGTTTCTTACAGTATCCTTCTGTACAGAAAGTTCAGCACATTGACTAGACAAAAACATAATCTGATGGGTGAATAATTGGCTGATGGGTCAGACTCAAAGGGCTATAGTAAATGGGGTTACCTGAGACTGGCAAACAGTTACTAGTGGGCTTCCCCAGGGCTCCATTTTAGGGCCATCTGTTTTTCATTGTTTTCATAAATTACTTGGATGCGGGACTTGAAGTAACACTAAGCGGGTTTGTAAATCATAGATGTTACTAAATTGGGAGGATCTGTTGAATCCCTTGAGGGTAGAGAGGCCTTGCAGAGAGATCTTGACAAATTAGAGGGATGGGCAATCACCAACAATATGGAGTTTAACAAAAGTAAGTGACAGATTCTGCATGTGGGACTCAGCAACCCTGGATATAAGTACACACTGGAAGATGAGAGGCTGCAGAGCAGCCCCACAGAAAGGAACGAGGGGATTTTGATCAATGGCAAGTTGAATATGAGTCAACAGTGTATGCTGGGGTCCATCAAGCACGACATTGCTAGCTGGTTGAGGGAAGTCACTGTCATGCTGTACTCTGCACTGGTGCAGCCTCACCTCAAATACCATGTGCAGTTTTGGGTGCCACAATATAACTCTTAAAACTCTTAGAGAGTGTCCAAAGGAAGGCTATGAAGTTGGAGAAGGGTCTGGAGGGCAAGTTGTATGAGGAGTGGCAGAAGCCACTTGGTTTGTTCAGCCTACAGAAGAGGAGACTGAGGGGCGACCTCATGGTGGCCCACAGCTTTCCTCATGAGGGGAGTTTGTGGGGCAGGCAGCAATCTCTTTTCTGTGGTGACCAGCAACAGGATCAGAGGGAATGGCAACAAGCTGCGACAAGCATGATTCAGGCTGGGTATCAGGAAAAGTTTCTTCACTGAGAGGGTGGTTGGACGCTGGAACAGGCTCCCCTGGGAAGTGGTCACAGCAACAAGCCTGTCAGTTCAAGAATCATTTGGACAATGCTCTCAGACATATGGTTTGATTTTTGGGTGGTCCTGTGTGGAGCCAGGAGCTAGACCCCATGATCCCTGTGGGTCCCTTCCAACTCAGGATATTCTATGATTCTAACTGCAAATTTGATTTAAGCATAAGATTCTGTGATAAAGTTGGTCATAATCCAGCCATCTCACAACTCCCATTTCTTTTCACAGCCCATTTTTTTAAATGCACTGCAGAAGTTTGAGAAGGGCAAAAAAAAAAGCAGATTTTTTTTAATTTTTGGCAGTTGTATTTTCTCATAATCCTCCCATTACTGTCTTTTGAATTTGTTTCTGTGAGGAATAACTGAGAATTTTCTAATTTAAGCTTGTGTGACTTTAATCCAGATGCCATTTTAGTAAGTCTTGTATTTTATCATTTGTCCTTCAAATCCAGTAAGTAGCTATTCAGTAAACAGCCAGATATTATCAGCTTTTATATTTTTGTTCATATAAAGCAAACAGTTCTGTACATCACGTAGGTACTCTACAAGCATTTCCTCTACACTGTTTCCTTATCGATTTGATACTGGAGTTCTCAGCATTCTTTGTCCTCCATATCAGGTCCAATCCTTCAAGTTGGCTAGATATGGAGCATACAGTGTTTACACAAGCAGCACATCAGAACTGCTGGAATGTGAGCAAATGTTCATCTGAAAGATCAGTGCTTGAACTCGTAGTAAATTTGTCTGAGACTGGCTTCATTATCCAGCAACCTAATCCCAGTGGGTGTCCACTGTTTTGTCTTTAGCACTATGAGTTTGCATCAGGACTTCCTGACTTCTAGCAAGCTGAGGGAGGAAGAGATGCGGCTCAAAGCACAGGCAACCCAGTTGCAGAGCTACCTAGTATTTCACACCCTTGATTTGAAAAAGGTGATGTTTGTGCGTCCATGTATATTTGTTGACTGGTTGACTGTCCTGTACGGGAAGGGGACAGAGTAAGAACTTGCAGTTATGGTCAAGACTAGCTTAAGCTTGTCTCCCATGAATAAAGCCTTAAAATACTGCATCATGTGGCTTAAAATTAAAATATAAACCAAAATGTTTTTATCTGTTTCTGAATGCTAATGCTCTGTCATGGCTTTTACACAGACATATTAATTACTGGTCTCTAGCGTTGACTAAGTTGTAGAGTTGTGCCCAAATCCTCTTTTATGTGGCCAGGAACAACTTAGTGCTTATTGTGACAGTATATTTAATAGTGTGTTTTTAATTGTACCACTCCCAGGATTGAACTAATTTGGCAGAGTGATCTTTATTTACTTAGCTAGTTATTGCCCTGGCTTGTATTGTCAGGCCACAAAACATGCACTTCTATACAGTGTTTGCATATCTGGTGTGTTTGTGTGTGTATAGTTATTTTTTACGAACTCTTTGTTCTGTTTGTCTCTCTTTTTGTGTGTATATTAAGTGATTTTGTCCATAGGGTTAGCAAACTAGATTTTTTTTTATAGACTGAAATAATATACCAACCAAAAACAGTTACATTTTTTTTTTCAAGCACTTTTTTTTTTTGGTTGTCTGATAGTTCATCACCTTGTGTTTTCTCCTTTATTGAAGTCATGACAAAGTCTCTTAGCCTTGTCATAACCACCCAAAGCCCAATCTGTTTTCTTGTTAATCCTACTTTCCTTATTTTTAATGTATTCATATTTATGACTTTAAAAACAGGACTTCTGCTTTCAAATGTAAATGCCATGTAAAAG